TGTTTCATAATTTGTTTCTCTGGATTTTTTTGTGGTGAATGAATAGTCAAATGTCTTGCATGAGCATGACTTCTAAAATTTCTTTTAGGTGTGAATGAGTCTCCTTTTATGACATGGGGTGAAATCGAAAGCACCCCTTTGCGTCTAGAAGGGTCAGAAACGCCTTACGTGGACAGAACACCTGGACCAGCCTTCAAGGTATTTCATGTCAGGAGTCAGCATGTCATTCTTTTGAGGGGGGAAGGACTAAGAAGGGAAAGGCAAGTGAGTAATTAATAGATTAACATTGTTGTGGGAGTGTGACACATCTCTGGGCTGTGTTCCCAGTCCTTGAGACTAATAATCTAGGTTCTGCTTGGAGGGTGGAGGTGGACATGGCTCCACATGAAAGCTACTTGGTGGAGATACCTGAGGTGGAACACACGCTGTTGGCAGGAGAGTGAGACTCAATATTTGATGATGGGCCCAGACAGAGGGGCTTTCACAGCAAGCTGAAGAAATGCCTGATTTCTCTGATTTTAATGTATGAATGGGTAGAAATTGTAGGATTTCCCTCTTTCTTGATCTTCTGGCTGTCACAGCCTGAGGCAGGTGTATCACTTGAGAGTAGAAAAGGCGCTCTGGCTTTGCTAATGGCACCTGACCCTGCATGCCACCTGTCTCCTGCTGGTGTCGTTGAATGTAAGCTGTCTGAGACTCTTAGTTTAAGAAAGGTGTAATTTGCTGTATGTGCCTCTGTTTTGTCAGACGCTGAAGCCCTTGACTGGTACTCCTGCTGTTTAGCAATGTCTGTGTTTGCCTGAGAGCAAGCTAGCTGGCTGGCTACAGGCCAGGCTAGGCAAGACACAGGTGACATTGTTTGTCTAGGAGAGAGCAGGAGGAAATGCCAGAGATAATGGCTGCCTCCTTGACTGAACTGGTTTTACCATTTTTGTTACTTGCTAAGATAGGTTGAAGGTCTCTCTGTGTCCTTTCTGGCTTTTATATAGCAGCAGAGAGGTGTGGGCTGACCCCACTTCTCCACAGTTTAGATCCCTGTAGGCTGGAATCCAACTGTGAAGGTGCTTTGACTCATTTGTGCAGCACTCATGAGTGCCTTGGCGAGTGAACTGTTTGACGCATTTATAGATCCTGGAGCCTGGGCGCCGTGAGAGGTTAGGACTCAAGATGGCCAATGAAGTGGCAGCTAAAAACCGAGCAAAGAAGCAGGAGGCACTTCGAAAAGTGACAGAAAACTTGGCCAGGTGAGACTTCTGTTCTGACAGCAGAATTCGGGATGGGTATTTTCTGATGATACTTAAATCAACGTATGTAGAAAGGGAGGAATTATAAGAGTACTGGAAGCAGGAAGAGGTACAGTCAAACTAAAAGTTTTTAGAAATTAAAAAACTTAATTCCTGAGGGAAGGTGGCTGTTCTTGATATTCCCTCTTGTCAGCATTACTGTTCTGCCCTACAGCCACCCAGCAATGCATCTGGATCAGTGTCTTGCCTCATTGCAAAGAGGAGACATGATAAGGCTTGCTTGACTGGGTCACGGGAAGGACGGAACAGGCTCAAAGGAAAAGCAGGCAGTGCCACCCAGGTTTGGGAGGGATGTAGGAGGTTTCTCTGTCACTTGTCTCTCTAGAGAGACAGGCTGCATTTACCTGCAGGCAGAATGACTTCTGCAGCCAGTGGGTCTGGTCTGTGGGGGGAGTGGACACCGAGCTCGCCTGTGGAAGCATTGATGCTCTTCCTGATAAATGACAGATTTTTACTGTAAAAATCTTTTAAAACTGTTTATTCTATTCTAGCCTCACTCCGAAAGGACTAAGCCCAGCAATGTCACCAGCTTTGCAAAGACTAGTAAACAGGACTGCAAGTAAATATACAGACAAAGCCCTGCGAGCCAGCTATACTCCTTCCCCAGCCCACACAGGAACTCCTGGTTACAAGACCCCAGCAAGTGGGCCTCATACACCCACAAACACCCCACAATCTAGGACAGTATCTCAGACGCCGATGTCTCAGGATACTACATCGATCACAGACAATTTACTGCAGCTTCCTAAAAGAAGGAAGGCATCTGATTTCCTCTGAATATTCCAGTCGCCAGCAAGGTGATAGTGAACTGGCTGTACTCAGCTGTCTGCAAACTGGATGTTGTGAGCCATCGGTAGTAAGGGGTGTCTAGGCACAGCTGCCAGAATGGAAGCCAGTGGCTACAAGATCTGGGACCAGCGCTGCTCTAGACTATATAGCTAAAATAGCCTGTGATGTGCTTTTTGGAAGCAGAGTATCTCCTGCTGTGGTATAACTTCCCTTTGAACTGCATGGGTGGGATGCACAGGGCTGCTGTAACAAAAGGATGCTTCCTGCAATGGCAGAGAATATTTCTGGACTCTTGGAAAACAGCGATAATTTTTTAAAGATATAGTTCTCTTCTTAAGATGGCCATGCATTTCAATATGTTTCTGTACAGACATGCCTATTTATAAAATGTGGTAAGCCTTCCTAAAAGGTTGAACTGGACTTTCTTCCAGCTTGTCAAACTTCTTTGGTCTTGTACTTTGCAGAGAGGGGATACAACCACGTATATATCGAGACATGACCCAGAACTTTACAGGGCTCCTCTTTAATTTAAGTGGAGTTTAAACCGATGCTCTTGAACATACAGTGGATCTGTCAAGAGAGTTGGTACGTTATGAAAACAGTATGCGTAAGGTTTCAGACATCTGTTGACACTTCCTAATAACCTGCCTTCTTACTGAATCCAAAATGTGGTTGATGCACATGTGAATTCTGCAGCCGGTGTAGTCAGGACCTTGAGAAATGTGAGCAGCACTGAAAGAAACTTTCCAATGTGTTTTGAAAGAAACTTCTCACCCCCGCCAACCATCAGAGACAGGTCTTTTGAGAATAATAGTGTTAAGCTGTTCATTCACTTCAGCAGATGTACTGTGTCTTCTGTTGCTATACTTTGTAAAGCCAAATTCGAGGACTATTGCTGAAAGGGTCCAGAGAAGCTGAAGTTGAGAACCAGCAGTTCACAAGTTAGACCAACTTTGTGATATTGTTAAAACCAGCGATCCTTAAGAGGATCCCGTTTCCTTCTCCTCTCCTTCCCCTTCTGCAGAATGGGATTTGGCTTGCTGCTTGAGCTCAGGCTTTCCTTCACGCACGTTTTGGGAACACTCACCCTCTTCTGCAGCTGGCAGAGGGGAAGGGATGGTGGATTTTGGATTCTGCAACCATGAGTGTTTCAAAACTTCATCTATGCACAACCTCTGAGACACATTGGGCTGGAGCAAGTGGTAAATGAGGTCCTTGCACTCTACAGTCAGGTATCTTGAGTTGGGGAAGGGAATCCTGTGTTGTTTCTGAATGCCGATCATTTTCCTGACATTGGAATCATCAAATGGCATTAAAGCGTAGACCATTGTATACAGGATAACACCCAGGCTCCATATGTCAGAAATCCTGGGGTCACAAGGAATGCCCTGTAGCACTTCAGGGGCTGCGTACGCAGCAGACCCGCAGAAGGTTTTGCTGAGAATAGTTCTTCCGTTTTCATCCCGAGACAAGGATTTGGAAAAGCCAAAGTCTGACAGCTTGATGTTGAGGTCTTCGTCGAGAAGGATGTTCTCACACTTCAGGTCCCTGTGAGCGAAGTCCAAGTCATGGCAATGCTTGATGGCAGAAGCCAACTGCTGAAATTTGATGCGAGCGATGTCCTCTTTCATAGCTCCCGTGATCTTGATGTAGTCCAGGAGGTCTCCCTTTTCCCCCAGCTCCATCACGATGTACACTTTCCCAGCTGATGTCTCAAAAATCTCATAGGTTTTGATGATTGCGGGGTGGTGCAAACGTCGCAAAGCCTCTATTTCCCTGGGGAGAAATCTTTCCAGGAAGTCCCGAGGAGTTTTCCTCTTGTCGATTATCTTGACGGCCACGTTGCATTTCAGCCGGTCGCAGTAGGCAGATTTCACTTTGCCATAAGAGCCTTCTCCTAGCATGTTGCTCAGGCTATAGCCTTTCTTTCCAAGCACCACAGCATCATCCATGGTGGGACAGCTGGGGGGAGCTGCATGAGTTGGTGCTGGTGTGCATCATGCGTGGTGGCAGGTGGCATGCCCATACACCATGATGGCTGCCCGGGGCACTGGTGCGGCGGGCGGGTGGGCACCCCAGCGCTGGCTGCTGTGTGATATAACAGGCAGCCATCCCTATGCGGGGCACTTGGAAAGACCTTTCAGTCCTTTTATAAAGTTAGCGGATGACATCATCCAGGGCAACACTTAACATCAAGTTGCTGAGAAGCATCGGTTGTGCTCTACCTTCTTCGTAAAATGATCTTTATATTTAGTTTAGCTAACAGGATGGAAGTAGCTTAAATGTTTTTCTTTCCTAAAATGTACCTAAGTCTTTTTATATTTATTCACGTTAGGTGAAATTTTGTCTTGTCTTTTTGTATGTCTCGGATGATCTTTCAAGCCCCACGTGGGCTTGCTTCTAGCATATGGTGGCCTTGCTCCTTGTCAGCCAGCTTTCCTCAAAAGGGATGGGATGCTGCTTTTCTTGTCTTCATAGGGGCTGTGTTCAAGAACTGTTTTTTTTTTCCTCATGGGCTTGTTAGGGGAAGGAGGTGGCTTCTCTTAAGTTCATTTCCCTGTTCATCTAGCCCCTCCATTTTGTAGCTCTGATGATTGGCTGCTTTTGTGGGCTTTGCAGCTGGCTTTTTCTTAAACACTTGCTCACTGGGGGAGTTATGTTTTGACTTCCAGTTTCTGGTATTCTTGAGAAAGGTTCACACCAGCACCTTCCTCAGAAGGGCTCTGAGGATTACTGTTTTGCGTGTTGATTGCTTCACTGTAATCAGCCTCTGGGGCTTTTTGCTTAGCGTTGATTTCAGCTTTTTCAAATTTGTTTCTACAGCTGCTATGTGTGTGACTCCAAAGACTTGATGATGTTGATGATCACAACACAGGGGCTAGGGACAATCCTGCTTCGTCCACCAGCATGGATGACAATGTCATTCTGAAGAACAGAAGTGGTACTTCTGACAGCCACACTGGGGCTTTTGTTTGGGTTTTTTTTCTCCCATTTTTTGAAACTTTTGGCTAATTTTTATAATTAGCCAAAAAAATGAAGAGCAGTTTTAACCATACATAGCCTGCACTCAGAGCTGTGGCTGCTCCAGTATGAGCTGACCTTTGAGTGTGGGATGAGCACTTGTGTGGTGTCATCCAGTCCGGAGAAGCACCGAGCACCTTTTAGTGGGAAGCAGGCGTAGCCAGATGTGTACTCTTCTTGCACCACACCTGAGTACAAGACAGCCTGTGTAAGACTTGGCAGTCTTGACATTTGCTATAGTCAGGTGATGTTTTACCGAGGGAACATCCACGGAAAATCTTATGCAGCTCTTTGAGCGGTGCCTGCAGCCTTCTGTAAGGTCTGGGGTGTTTGATGCTGTGTTTGTCTTCATGCAAGAAGAAGCTCTCCACCGTTTCCACTGCCACTTCCAAAACTCATGTCCCTGACTGAAAAACCCTTCCAAGGGACTCGATTTTTATAGTGCACCTTGTAAAAATCAATTGATCAACATGGCATTGGTAGGAATCGTGACTGCAAGAAATTAGTAATTTTTGCTTTTTTTTAGTTCAGAAATAATTGAAGGCTAAGTTTTTTTCTTGACGCAAAAAAATTATTCTCAGGTACTCATGAATGAATGTAAAGGGAATCCATTTACTAATGTTTCTGTGCTTTCAGAGATGTTCTTTAGGGACTGAACTGGCTAAATAACAATGAAGTTCTCAGGTAATTTAAAAACCTAATTATTTCATAATGATCACACGATCTGCTTATATCCATGAAATGCAGGACCTCTCTGTTAGGGTATGCAGGGAGATGGTCAGGCCCTGGCCTGCAGTTTGGGTCACTGAACGGACCAGGACAAAGGAGTAGATGTGACATGAGAGATGGCTGGATGCAGCAGTAACAGGTAGCTGCTGGACCGCTACAGAGAGCACCTGGGGAAATGGCTGAACTTCACAGATAATTGAGGAGGAGCACGGGGACCACCTTGGGCGTGGAACCTGGCGAGGTGGAGGTGACCCAGTGAGAGGTATCAGGAGCACCAAATTTGGCTACAGATGTAGCAAGACTGGGCCTAACAGGAAAAAAGTATCCTCTACTTATTTTGGTTTTTGGGAGGAGATGACGGTTAGAGAAAGAGAGGTATTAGAGAAGAACAAGCATGGGAACATGGAGAGAAGTTGGGATATGGGCTGGATGTGCGGAAGCAGGCTGTGATCAGCATGCGTATCTCAAGCCTGGTGCCTGATCTCCTCCATCTTGTTGGATGATTCCTACCCATTTGCTGGGTGTGGGAGCTCTCTCTTCTGGGCATGGGGTGCACGTAAAGGCTGGGCAGTGTTCGAGGGACCATGGATGGGGTGTACACGTGGGTCAGGAGCGCGATGGGGCATGTGTCTTCCGCAGCATTTCAAACTGGTCATGCTCATACCAAGATGTAGCTGGAATAACAGAGAGGGGAATATGATATCTGAGAATGATTAGTTCCACGTTGTGCAATTCATGCTTAAAAGCAGATGGCATTAAATATCCTGTGGGACGGTGTTGGTTTTGTGTTCGCCCTCAAGTGAATTAACCTAAACAGCCCTACTAAAATCAGAGTCTTGATTCTGCCAGACTGAAGGGCCTTCACGTGTTTGCTGGGAATGTAATTTATTTTCAGTGAATTGCTATAAAACTGGATCTCTTGAAGGGGATGTAGTGCTCTTCAGATGGGCTATTCCTGTAACGCCTGCTGTAATGTCTGATCTCTGCTTCCTGCTGCAGCTCAGCCCCTGCTATCTGTAATTAGGGAATCAGTAAACTCTTTGTTGCCAGATATTTTTGCTGCTGTAGCCTTAGCAGATAATGTGCCTTACAGGGCCAAATCCAGTGTGAAAAACCACCTTGGTTCTTGATGACTTGTGATTTCCCCCCCCCCCCCCATTTGCCGAGGGGTTTTTTCTTTTT